TAAATAAATTTTAATCACTAATCCATACCTACTTGTTGTTGAACCAGTAATTTTCTTCAGGTTGAATAGCTGTCTCACTTTCCTTGTTTTTATTCCTATGTTACATTTTCAATAAGGAATAATTTTCCTGCCAACTTTCACTGTATTAATCTTTTCTCTTCTTTTTGTCTTCATTCCTAGGGCTTTCCTGTTCTCCAGATAGTATTATCAATCCTTCCAGGCATATGTTGAATTTATCACTCACATTATCTCTGTGCTGCTCATGTGTTATCATTGCCCCTGAGAAATTTCCCTAGGAAATCCTAGAGTTGTGTTTGTCTGTTTCTCCCAACAACGTCCCGTGGACGTCTGTTGTTCTGTAATCGGTTAGTGTACTTGAGTCCTTGGACGTAGCTGTCTCCTATGCATGAACTCCTAGTCTATGTGAAGCAGAAGTTCTTCAGTGTTCCCAGTGTGCATAACTTGCCCAATTTCATGCTATTGTGTTTCATTCCATTTCTGTTGCTTCTGTTCTTCACGTGATCCAAATCCTCCTACGTAAAAACAATACTCAGCTGAATTGACAATTCGTGTTTATCGGCAAGGTTTTTACTTTTTGCACTTCGTTCATTAATGAAAAGGGTAAGTATTCCTGAATCCAGATGATTCAAGAATCAAGGTGTTTGAATGTCATTTGTACTACACCAGTAATCTCTTGAAGCTACTTGTCGTCTGCCCTGCTACTCTTACAATCCCTCTTCATCGAAATTAATAATTTTCTTTGTGGCACCATATGAGGTTTTTTTCAAGCTCTAATGGAAAAGTTGTTGCATACTGGCTTAGACAGTCAGTTTATCTCTGGCATTCTGTTCCATCTCAAAGTTGTGTTCAAAACTGTACATGGGATTGAGGTGGTGTGCTTTTGGTTACCCGAGTCACTTTTTGCCCCTGTTACACTTAGGATAAACATCTACTATTTTCAGTTTTGCTTTGGTAAATACACTTACTTGGTATTGTTTGTACTGCTGTGAATTTTTTTGAAGTAGAAGTATCTTGTCTGTTGAAATGGATTTAATGTTATAATTCTTGTGAAGACTGAGGTTGGCACTTTTTTCATGTCTTTGTTGCTACATTTAGCACTATCATTCTTTACTGAAATTTGGGACAGTACAGCTCATTTGGTTTGGAGATCATACGGTTAAAAATATTACAAAGCCACATCTGAAGAGCACTTACCACTGAACTCCCTGCTTTCAGAGTCATTTTGGACCACATGATGAATCTTGCACACTTTAGCTTCATATATTCAGAGCCATACGGAGTGTAGAGCTAGACCGCCATAAGTGCCATGAATTCACAGCTGAGTTCCAGTTCAGAAAAAAACCCACACAGTTTTAATAATAAAAGCATTTTCTTCAGTAAACTATTTTTAGGACAGATGATAAATTACACTGTAGACAAATTGGGTGTTACAATTGATGAATAAATTACTTTTTAACGGATTATGGCTGAACACTTCTTCGTGGCTACAATAGGGAAAAAAAAAATAAAGAGGGACTGAGGACTTTGAAACCCATGAACCACAATCAGTTGATTTCAATTTCTTCAGCATCATTCTGTTGGTAGAGTTGAACTCCAGCTGTTAATTGGTGCTTTAACACATTTGAAGTTGTTATTTAGTTGTGTCATTCTATCATGTTAGAGAGGTTTTGGACAAATTCCAGCTCTTGCACACTATAGATAGCGTGCCTTAGTGGGGCTGCCAGTCTTACTCTTTAATGGGAACCCAGACATGGTTTTGTCATATGTATTTTTTGGTTTTCTGGTTTATTTTGTTTTTAGTGAAAGATACGCTCATATGAAGGTCATAAGTGCATCATTTTGGGTGTGGCATTTGTTAGAAGCACTAGAACAACTAGTCTTTTTTTTTTTTTTTTTAAGCTGTTAAACTACATAGGTATATTGGAGTGCCAGGTGGTGTTAAGAATGAAATGTTTTCAAACTGTTTCCCTTTCTGTGTAAGAGTAACATAGGCTATTAGAGAACTAAGTTTCTTAGTTTGTTTAGCTCAGAAACTTACATGAGAAAAAGGAATGACAGTTCAAAGGATGGGTAAAAAATGCCTTAAAGCTCTTCTGACAGCTGTGGCAGGAGAGCTCTGCTGAATTTTGCAGTGGTGACTGAAAAAACTGTGTCAGCCCATCCACATCATGTTTTTGACACAGCTTTATTGCTTCTGTAGTGTGGGCGGTAGAGTAGGACGTGTCCACACTGCAGTTCACATAGTTCATATTGGGACATTTTAGAGTAAATCACTAGCTTTTTATCAGTGGCTTAAGCTCACCTTCCCAGCAGTGAAACGTTACCATTAGTGCTGTGGGTGCAGCAAGGCTTATCAGTGCTTTTCTGCCCAAACCTTGAAGCCAGCTGTGGGGCTTTCCTGGCTAACAGGAAACTTGACACTGACAGTAACTCAAGTAATAGTGTTAAGATGTCATATGTGCATTTCAGAGGAGCAAAAGGGAATTGCAGTCTTACTGGCTTTATTTTCCACTTTTGAGGTGTTCTTTTTAAATGCTGATAAACATTCTCAAATTAGAATTATTTCTAAATGGGGAATTACAACAGAACTTGTTCTCGGTGTCATTTTATTGTGTGGATTTATATACATTTTTATACGCATTGACATTTTAATACATAGATATCTGTGAAAAGTGAAATATTAATGACAGCAAGTTTAAGGCACAAAATAATGGTTCTGAGCAGAGAGTGCTATATTCTTGAATAGGCTTGGACAGTGTTTTTGAAAACTACCTTAGATTGTCTCACTGAACAAAAATCACAATGAAATTGGAAGTAGGTGGCATTAAAATGTTCTTTTTTTCCCATTTCTTCTTGATTTTTTTATATAGTACAGTGGTAAATAGACATTACATGTTAAGCTCCTGTGCCAGCGTGCTCTCTTACCTTAATGAATTTTCTGAAATCCTACTCTTGAAACGTGGAAGAGAGAATATGCAGTCCTTACTGAAACTTGCATGGAGAAGACAGAAATTATTATCAAATATACTTAAACAGATTGTTAGTGGGTTTTTTTCCTCGATGTACTGCAAAAATAATAACGTAAATAGAGCCCTTGTTGTTTTACTACATACAAGCTGTTGGCAGTTTTTGTCTTCCGTGAGTTTTATTGAGGATTGAAGTTTGTTGCAGTTGAAACCCAGAATAAAGTAATAATACTTACAGACTTTTGTTGCTGCCCTGAAGTTTTTGGAGCTAGAAGGACATTCCCTGTGAGCTGTCAGAACTGGTCCTGTTTCTTGTGATTAGGAAACACTAAAGAGTGAATATTTTTGTTATCATACCACTTTTTACCTCTGCCTTACCAGGAAGTTTATTTTGAAGTTCCTAGCATTTAGGACGTCCGCAAAGCCTGTGGTTCCAGGTCCCTTCTGCTGTAGCCTGGCAGTAATCATGGCAAACACCAGGGCCGCTGTGCTGTTTGGGGAGCGGCGCCCGGCCCGGAGCTCGCCCCGGCTTCCCCTGGCGCGGAGGCGCTTTGTCGCTTCATTAGGGAGAAGTCAGAGACGTGTGAAAAGTAGGCCAGGGGTCGGGGACGGCCTGCCCCAGCCCTGCCAAAATTGGAAGTGACGGACACCTCCCGGCTCTGCCGCTAATTTGCCTCCATGTTAAAATGCCTCTGAAGCACTAATTAAAATGAAAAGTTCTTGGGTCTCACCAGCAGACAGATTGAGTTATTGATGGTGGAAGCGGCCACCAACAGTAATTGCAGCCCATCCCCGAGCAAACGCCAGTTTGGGCATTCATGAGCAGCACCAGGCTGACAGGGGTCAGGGGGTCAAGCCCACCGAAACAAGAGGCCGAGGAAAGGCAAAATCAGTCCTCTGTTCGTCTTTGTGCAACGTTGCTTTTGTTGCGTTTAACTATTTAGGTGTTCGAGCCGCTTTTTAGTCCTTTGAGGCCCAATTAGGCTTCCCTTGTGAATTGCTGTAGAAAGTTCGTTAAGCAGAACGTGACCACAGATACTGCAGTCTGAAAAAGTAACTTCTTATTCAATTTGGCGGTCTTAGTTATATGTTCATCCACTGATGAGTAAAATTATATTTTACTTTTGGAGCAAATGGTATGTGTGTGTGTAGTAGGGTGATTTTTCAGGAGGGATTAATTTGCACAAAACTTGGGAATCCAGAAAGATATCAGGATTTTGAATTGGAGTTAACAGAGTAAAAATAAATGATCGATGGTGGTGTGAACTGAGCTAAATTTTGTTTTTTCCAGAGAACTCTATATCGCATAGGAGTCTACAGGAAGAGAGACTGGAATATAGTTAATCCTAAGTGAGAAATTTACTTTTTCATTCAAGTGTTAAATGAGATTGTGCTTTTATTTTTTTAAGTTGTAGTACTATTTTAGAAGAAAAAAGTAACATTATAACTAAATTAGGTAGCTAAACTATTTTAATATAAATTTAGTGCTCATCCAGCAGAGAGGCTGGGTTTTTATTGCAATAAAGCTTCTCTGCAAGCATTTTTCAACTGGTGGCTCTGCGTGGTGTGGCTTTTTTCCTCCAGTATCATGGGAAGTCACCACTGAGTTTCCTTTTTTAAAAAAATAAGAAGCATAAATTTCCATTTCTGTAAAGACAATAGTTTTCAAACAGATTTACATGTTAATCTGTTGAATATTACCTATCATAGCTATATGCAAGTCTAATTTATATGACTGTGACTAGTGAGTTAACACATCTAATATTTTTGATAGAAATGTAAAAACATTCGTGTGGGTTGTTACCAAAAGTGTGTATTTTTGAAGAACCTTGCTGTTCAGTTGGATAGTAAATATGGCTAATATTTTCAGTTACTGATCTTAATAAGCATATGCATTTTTAATTATTTTTTTGCAGCCACATGGTTATGATTAGGGTGATGAAAAATCCTGAGGGTTTTTTCTTGTTTCAGAAATGCAAGGAGATTGTTAACACTTTGTTTTACTCTTATCTTTCAGGAAACGAAGTTGGAAGAGTTACAAAAGCACCAAATTGTGTGTTAGGCTTCACCAAACAGACTCAGCTTAACATTTGTCAAGCGGAAGGGCCAGTTGCCTTACACAGGAAGGATTAAAGGTGAACAATGACTCGATTGAGAGTTTGTCAGCAATTGCTTGGAGCCTATCTGCTTATCATTCTCCATGTTCAAGGTAAATATGTACTGGCTGAAACAAGTTTATATTTTTCATCTGTAACTGAGATGTGTATTCCAGGGCTGTGGTGGGATTCTTTTCATTTGGAGTTAGGGTGTTTATTTTTTTTTTTCTTCTTTTGCAGGCAGGTGTTCTATCTGGCTGACATGCCACATAGGCACTTCCCTAAAAAGAAGGACATTATAGTGGACGTGTGTTATTGTAGTTTAGATTATATATTAGGTCTATTTTAGCAAATGCTATAGAGACAATACTGGAAATGCATAGCATGTGGTGGAGCAAGTTACATAAGCAGCAGAATTGAAGGTTAGACTTTCTGAATTTCGGTTTCCTATGTGTGTGCATCTTTCCCTTTAAATTTGACCCACTGAAGAAATTGCAGTGTGCTGAGAGATGGTGTGGTATAACTAATCTAAATAAACTTGTTGTGCCTACTTGATGGGCTGAGGTGAGGCTATGGGATGTTCACAATAGCCTGGGTTTCAGCTACGACTGTTGTCTTTCCAGCCACCAGTTATCAAAAACTTCCGGAAATCCAGTTATCATTAGGACTTTAAACTCCTCTGTCAAATTGAGTTGAATTAAAAACGAAAAGCATTGTGAACCAGCCAACATGACTGTCTTGTGCTCTATCAGGATTTGAAGCTTTAAGTATAACAATTATAACTAGTTTGTGGGAAAATCTGTTTTATTGTTATTTCCTTACTCCTTATTAGCGACTGTACCAGGCAGATCTGATTCTGTAGTTGCTTGTAGTTCAGAGAAGTGTCAGAATTGCAGAAGGGCTGTTAGTGTATTGCATTCTCATGTTTGGGACATGAACAGTAGTGCTCTGCATGTCCATCAAGCATGTTAGACCATCCACAGTTGGTCTCTGTGGAACATTCTCTTGGTCTCCCAGCAGTGCACCTTTTGTATGTTTCAGTTGAGTACACAGAGCTTCCCATATGTTTTGAGGGAAATAGACAAGACTAATTTGGTCCTGCCATTTTAATACTAGAATATAAAAGGTTTTATATTCTCTTGCCATACTTGTATCAAATACTGCTTAGTGTTTGATTTTATTTTGAGTTATTCTTTGAGTTATTTATTTGCAAAAAGAACAATTCAATGAACCCATTAAAATGGAGAGGAAGCCTAGTAAGTACCCAATGACAATCTTTATGATGTGTTTCTGGTGTGTACCTGCAATATTAGATTAAAGGATTTAGCAGAGCTTTCTCTGTTGGGACTATGCTCGATACATAGCTTGACAACTGATTTTAAGAGCAGACTTGTATTGAATGTGGAGTGGGCCTGCCCCTTCCAAGCCACTTGATGCTGCCTCTTCTCATGTGCTGGTGTTTATCCTCTTGTAAACAAGTGCCAAGGTGTATTTGGGAACTGCTGCAGCTTCTAAACTGGGTGGGAGGAGGCACTTATGCAGAGCATAAGACTGTACCCTATAACATAACCCAAACCTTTATTAGTCAGTAAATATAATGTGACTGGAGATATTTACCTGGAATTGACCAGGGATGAGCTGTCAACTGCACTAAGATCCAAATTAATGAATGTGAATGGTGCCTCAGTGCAACGAGGATCATCTTTCAGCTCTTCAAGTGCCATCCCACACACATATTCACAGCTAAGCTGTTTTGGAACGGAAGTCCTCTCTCTGAATCTGTGCAGAATTGCACTTTGTTAAAGATAATTAAAACGGCCATTCTTCCTTTTGAGTTTCCAGTGGGGTTTTGTCCCGGAGGCTACCACAAGGATACTGAAGGCTTCTGTATCGTTGAGTACAGCCTACAGAATTGTGAACACTTTTCTTCCAAAACGGGACGAGTGTTCCTGTATAATTGCTGAGTTATATGAGCGCTTTCATTCTTTTTAGCCTGCAGGGGCTCAGAATAGTGTATCTTGACTTCTACATATGTGCTTTCGGTGCTGATGTTTGGCTTGATTCACTCTGTGTGTGTATGTGTATGCATGCACACACACGTTTCAGGATTGGGGAAGAACATGGGTCTTAGTTTGAAGCTTTGCCATTGCAGCAAAGACTTCAAGGTTGAAAGCAACAAAACATATGTAAATCCAGGATTCTTCCATCTTCGTTACATTAGTTAAGTTAGGAGAAGAAAATTTTCAAGACCAGTCCCTCTTCCTGTTGTGGACATAAATTTTTTAATTGGCAAGAACTATTTAGACGGAAATAGTCTAGTTTGGGTATAGTTGAAATTTCTAGTACAGATTTACAGATATTTACAGGTGATTAGAATGGTAGTGGGCACAAATCACAATACAGGAAATTTTGGTGAGAAATTTGGAAATAAATTTTTACTGTGAATGTGGTTAAGCATTAGAACAGGCTGCCTGGAGAGGCTGTGCAATGTCCATTCTTAGAGATAGTCAAAACTTGACCAGAATGACTTTGAACAACCTGGTCTATTGGGCCTGCTTTGACCAGGTCATGGTACCAGGTGGTTTCTAGAGGTCTCTTTTGCCCTAAAATGCTCTCAGATGTAGCAGTTTGCAGTGGAGCTTGTTCTTGCTAGTATTCAAGCAGTTTTGCTGTTTCTTGAAGAAGATACCAGCTTCTTCGTTGGAGAGGCTGGCAGTGATATACTTTGTTCTTTTTACTGAAATCATGGTTACCCCTTTGCATTAGTCAATATTCAGCATTTTACTCAAAGGCAATAGCAACTGAAGGAACAACTTTCTTTCTCTAGATACAAATAATAATACAGATACACAGGCCTTATAGTGACTTAAAATTAAATTACATTGACTCCTTCTGTGATCACATTTATTTATAATGCTTCAGTAAATAACATCTAATAAATAATATAGCTGAATTAAGTTTAAAGACCCTCAATTTTTTTTCAGCTTCTAAAGAAGAAATTGCCTTGTCTTAGGAATGTTTTTGACTTTCAAATCAATACTGAGCAAGTTCTGAAAGCCATGGGAAAGTTGAGCTTGTTGAAATGTTGTTTGTTCTTTGATGCAAGCTGCCTAAGGGCTTGTCTTCAAACATGAAATATGCTTGGTTTCTAGAGGTGGTGAGTAGAAAAACAGTCAAGTCTGTCTGCTTGTCCCTAGATGCATGAAGGAGTTGTGTTTGGGGTGGGGGCAAGGGAAGAATAGAGTTGATAGTCACTAAGTATTTGAAAGTTTTACAGGAAGGAGGAAATCTGAAGTTAAAAGTCTAAAAAATAGAAATTGAAAAGAATAGTTTCAAGAAGGAAAATATATGCAAGATGTTACGAAAATGCATCATCAAGGAGCCAGTACAGGTGGAGGAGACATGAGAAATTGAAGAGAATTTGTGTGATTTACAGAAAGAGGAGGGAAAAGCAGAGGAAGTAGAAACCTCAAGCACATGTGCTTTAAGAGACTGGCACCCAGCTTAATGGTTTGCTCCCTCACTTGTTTTGGAGGCTTCTTCAAAATGGTAGGAATCTCGGGGCTTACCAAGACTTGAGAGAATGATAATAACAGCAAGTGTGTCTATGTATGTCCTTGTATATATATATATATATATACACACCAGATTACTTAATAGGTGACTTGCAAAAGCAAGTGGCTGCATGTGTTGATTAATATGAAAATATTCTTACAAGAACAGCAGAAAACAGAGGAAATTCCATTAAATTATTGGTGAACAGCTGCTGTTTCTCAGGTTAGTACTGTGGAGCAGGGCAACACAATGGTTACCCTTTGGATTGTGTGTTCCTTATAACTTATAGGACTTTTTCACTCATGTTGAGGAATGATCAAAAATAAACCTGAGTAGCAGATGTTAATAGCCGCCTTTCCAAGAAAAACATGTTGGTATTTTCTTTCTCACTGTGGAAGGCCTTTGCAATATCTTTAGACCTGTCACTTGCTCTGCCATCTTCATCCACCTAATTTTGCTTATCTAAGGCAAGAGTTTATCAGCTTCATTTGTAATTGGGGACTGTGGTAAATATGCTTTTGTCTTCCCACTAGTGCAGGTTTTTAGTGCAGATGATCAGTTTTACTTCGGAATATACTTTTCTTTGTTTTTATAATGCATTGATGAATGCAACTAATCAATACATGCCATGGAATAGTTAAAGAACTTAAACACGTTGTCCTAAATTTTGTACTTCATGACTGTCAGTTTACTATATGATGTAATGTTAGATATGTGGCTCATCACGTCTTTGTGTTCTTCAGAGACACCGCAGAAGACCAGTATTTTAATCCTTGTAAATTAGTTGACTAAAAATGTATTAATAACATTCAATGTGTATGAGGAAAGGTTTATTAAAAGTTAACTTTTTAATTAGTGTTAATATTCAATATTAAAGCAGACTTAGTGAAGTTGGCATGGTCTGTTAGTGAACAGAAAAAAACTGTTGAGATTTGATTTCACTGTCATACTTTTATTCAAAGATTTTATATAGAAAAGGTTGTTCCTTTTTTTTTACTTTTATGCACTTTCTGAATTTCAGCTGGAATAGTTACTGAATTTAAACATATAAACTAATCTGAAATAAATAAAATATTCTAAAATCTGCAGAATTAACTTAGAATTGTCAGAAGCTGATCTATTGCTTGAGGACAGTGTAGTTCTGTTTACCAGGGATTTCCCCAGTGGCTGCATTTGTCTTTAAAGTGTTGGCAGCTAATATATCTTGCTAAATATTTGTCTGATTAAAGTTATTTTAGTGGATTATTGAAAGTTATATATTGCTTTATTATAATTTCAAATTTAGTTTTAAGTAACTTTATTCCTTGAAAGTCCATTTCATTTAAATTAGAATGAAGTGTACTTTTAAAAGTAAAATAAACATAAAATTTTCTTGTCTCTGGCTTTTGTATTGAATATATAGGCACAGAGAGTAGTCTTCTTCAGAAGTGACTTTTTTTGGGGAAGGGAGGTGGGAGCAG